CAAAAGTACTTAACAATTTGTGATCAATGCATAAACTTCGTCAACTTTTTTCAGCTGAATATCACCAGCAGCAATAAGTGGATTAGAATAATCATTTAACACAGAGAGAGAAAGGGAGAGAGAGACTAAACGTAGAGCCTCACGGAAAAACCAACCATAATAATCACTTGAAATAAAGCCTTCGTTATCGATTCCCCCACATCCCGCACCGCTAAGCATATATTCTGAAAAGAAATACACTGAAACTATCGACAAGTATCTTTCGTTAATCTCGAGTAAATTATCAATCCCGGATGATCATCTCTATCAGTTTGGCTTTTAAGTCCCAACTGTTTCTGAATGAACTGTTTTGGAGAACGTCTTGTGTCAACATTTGGTTTACAGATGAAATCATTTCCCTTCATAAGGCTAAATGATTGGAAAATATATCACTGAATAACCATCGAAACATACCGCTATCCAGCCCTGTGGAAATCGTTTCGTTGGAAACGACACTATTCGCCGTACGTGATGAGCATGATGATGCAGCTTTCGCTTCGATTTCTTCACGACTTGGCTGAAAAGAAATGGGAGCTGGAGATATAAACTCGTTCGCAGACGATTTCAGAAGGAAATTCGAACCGATCAACCATTTGATCACTCCGATCACTCCATTTGATTCTCTTAAGCCAATTTTTGTGGAGAACATTGCAGCTTCGAAATCATAAACTTTCGAAGAATTGAAATTTTAATCGAGCAAAAATACCGGTTGTTTGGGCCTTTCTTTTCTCAACGATCGAAGTATCGACGGACGACCTTGTGTTTTGGTCGAAGGATTATCTGCAAGAAAAATAGGATGAAAATAATCCAATTCCAGGGCGCCATGTCATAGAATTGGATGTTATTTTGGGAGAACATTTTGGACTTTCTGCAACTTCCACTCCAATACATCTTTCAATCTTCTATCAACATGACAAATATCAGATGACATTGTATAAAGCAGTCATCTCACTGCTATAATACCACAACCACAACAAAGACATTAACATTCTACCGCTCTTGTCGAATCGCACACTGCCACTGCGATCTGCACTTCCCGTTATGCTCATATTCGAATCAGTTGAAACATCGAAGTTCGAAGTTGTGGTCAGGGAAGGACACGATGGAGGGAACGGAGTATCATCCTAAACTGTCATTCATATCAGAACATCAATGTCACCATCATATCAGTAAGCAGAAAATGAATAATCGATCATATGATCACTAAAATTCCTATCAGTTCTGAGCGGCCTATCAGTGCACCTCATCAGACTTTGATAATAATCGAAATATGATGTGCTAATAGATTCTATGAGTCGTTACCTGATATGCCGGATTACCACGAAGCGCTTCAAGTTCAGGCAGAACATCAGCAAATCGAGGACGTTCTTCATAATCGTAAATCCATGCCCGTTCGACAATTCGGAAGCTAGAAAACAATCGTTCAGATTTCCTTGGTGAAGGAATTGAGCTCCTTTTAGCTCATACTCCAATCAAACGGTACTCAGAATTCATGCACTATGACTTTCACTGGAATATCATATCCTTAATGATCTTATCCAAGCATCATATCTTTACTGGCTGCAACTGACTTTTCAATTACTCAAAACATGTTTAATAGTTAGAAAATATAGCGGCAGGATCCATGAAATTATGATTATGAATCTACGATTTGCAATTTATGGATGGGATGAAAACTAACATTTCATCAGGACAGTATGGCGGTTTATCGAGTCGACCGCCACTTTTCACGAACGATATAACCTGAAAGCAATGAGTGATGGATGGCTATTGCTCAATACGTTCCTTTCATAGGATCAATGAGTTCAGTTGATCATTTAAATTTAAATAATACTACTTAATGTTCAAATCGCCCAACAAAGAACACGTCATAAATAATTTGATTAAAAGACGAAGAAACCTGAACGTTTTGTTTGCCGATATATGGTTGTTGTCCCAACGTGAGAATCTCCCACAAGAGAACACCAAAAGACCAAACGTCACTTTTTGATGTGAAAACACCATCAGTGATCGATTCGGGTGCAAGCCATCGTAGCGGTAGAAAATCCTCACCGTGAACGCGATAGTAATCGTTTGTGTAGACGTCACGAGCGAGACCAAAATCAGCTAAAAACATCATCACGTTCACCAAAGTTAGATAATTTTCATCAGGCTGTAAAGAATATCGTCAGAACAAGTCGTCTTTATTTCGATTCACTANTTTTTCAATAATAAAATTGCTCGCTCAAATAGGCATCAATTCGAAGAAATGCTCATCGTCAGCACAAAAAAACGATCAATTCACAGTCGTCTGTCTTCCAGCCAACCATTATGACGATTGCGCCTGTCATAGCCACTCACCTATCTTGGTGACTCTTGCATGAGAATTCCTTGATGAGATGAGGCAGTTTCTGGCTGCCAGATCACGATGCACATGCCGGTTTGCCTCCAAATAACTTCCACCACGTCCCACATCCACCATCATATCGATCAGTTCACAGAGCGACAACTGCGATGGCAAGCAATCAGATGGACGGCTGTAATATTACGAGGTGACTGATGACTTGATGCGGAATGAAACTGAGAGGAGCACCAAAGCTCTCATGATGAACGAAGATGAAGTGTATGGCTTATCAGCAAAAAAAAATACCTGGAGCGCAGAAATCCCAACAGATCGCCGCCTTCCATGAGTTCAATTATTAGATAGTATGGCTCACTTTCCAGTGACACACCCATCAACTTCACGATATTCGGATGATCGAAATTGCTGAAAAAGGCGATTCTTATCAATTTTCCGTTGAGATAGAATCGTAGATTTCTGAACAATTACATGAATTTCTAGTGAGTTTTCAATAACAACCTCAAGTGGAAGAGAGATAATTTTATAAATTGCACATATTAATAGCGAAAAATTCAGAAACATAAGAAAATGACGATAACGAACTTCATCAGAA